AAATTTAGTTTTAGAGTGTGCTATGGAGCCATTCAAAGGCTCCCCTGATAGCTCAGTTGGTAAAGAATCCACCTGCAATGCAGGAGAATACCTGGGTCAGGAAGATCCGCTGGAGAAGGGATAGGCTACCCACTCCAGTATTCTTGGGCTTCCTGGTGGCTCAGCTGGTAAAGAATCCGCCTGCAATGCGGGAGACCTGGGTTTGATCCTGGGTTGGGAAGATCTCCTGGAGAAGGGAAAGGCTACCCACTCCAGTATTCTGGCCTGGAGGATTCTATGGACTGTATAGTCCATGGGATCCCAAAGAGTTGGACACGACTGAGCGACTTTCACTTTCACTTTCATGGAGCCATTTGGGCAGCAACCAGGATCCCGGATTTCTACCTTCTGGTATATACTCTAAAGGGCTTCCTTTGAGACTCAGCAGTTAAGAATCTGCCTGCAAGGCAGGAGATTCAGGTTCAGTGCCTACATTGGGGAAGTTCCCCTGGAGAAGGAAATGACAGCTGCTCCAGTGATCTTGTCTGGGAAATCCCATGGACAGAGGAACTTGGTGAGCTACAGTCCACGGGATTCCAAGAGTCGAACACGACTTAGCGACTAAACCAAACACCTTAAAGAAACTCTGGAACAACTGGACACAAAGGACAAATGTATTTGCTGCAACGTGTACGAGCAAAATATTGGAAAGCCACCTAAGCTGTGTCTCCAGGAAGGGGACTGAGAAGCAAACACATGGTCAGCCAACAGACCGCTACTATGTGACTGTATATTAATGCCTGAATTAACTCTATGTGTATTAAGATGAAAAGATCGCAAAAACAATGTTTGGTTAAAAACTTAACCGAGAATATATGTATTGATCCTATTTATTTTGAAAATTGCTACTCCTAATCATTTGTAAGGAGGGAAAAGTGAAAGTGTTAGTCGCTCAGTCGTGTCCAACGCTTTATGACCCCATGGACTATAGCCCGCCAGGCTCCTCTGTTCATGGAATTCTCCAGGCAAGAGGCCTGGAGTGGTTTGCCATTCCCTTCTCCAGGGGATCTTCCTGACCCAGGGATCAAACCCAGGACTCCTGCATTGTAGATGGATTCTTTACTATCTGAGCCGTCAGGGAAGCCCTTGTAAGGAGGGAAACACATGATCAAACATAACTTGGCCTCAGCATGGGGTGGAGTTATAGCTATGGGAGGAGTGCACGGATCCCTTCCAGACAAGGCCAGCCATGCGCTGGAGCAGCGCTCCTCAAACTGAAAATATCATATTGATCTTAAAAACCAAGGGTATAAAAATGTCTATAGATGATTTAAAACATTATATATTTTAATGGGTATGTATAAGTGTGGAAAACTATTGCAGTCCATTGATTTTAAGATGCACATTTATTTTCAATCTGAAATTGGGATGTATCTTGCAATCTACGTGTATACTTTAATTGTACTTTGTTTATTAATATTATACCAAATATGAGTCTTTATAAAGTTGATAGATTGAAGATAAAAGGAGAATGGGGTGGCAGAGGATGAGATGATTAGATAGCATCACCGACTCAATGGACATGAATTTGAGCAAACTCCAGGAGATAGTGGAGGAGAGAGGAGTCTGGCGTACTGCAGTCCATGGGGTTGAAAAGAACTGGACATGAATTAGTGACTGAACAAACACAACAATAAAGCTGATAGTATGCTAAATTTCGTAAACTATGATTTAAGAACTGGAAGATGGGCTCATATCAAATTCATCAAAGTCACTGTCCGGGAGAATGGGTGTGGGGAAGACCAAAAGAGAGACAAACTTGGGCATAAATGATGCTTTAAACTGATCAATAATACTTTACTTTTATAAATTAAAAACATCTGAAATAATATTTTAGCATTTGTTAAGATAGAGCTTGAAATGCACATACCATCTTATTTAAACTTGAAGAAACTCAGGGTTGGTGATCGTTAACGATCGTCCTCTTAGACCATGGCTAAAGCACCCTGAAAAATACAAGCTCACCTCACATGTACTTGGCAGCCTTGGAAGCTAGATGCGCTGGGGTCTTATTAGCTCTCACTTTCAGATATAACACAACAAACAGATCAGGGAAGTTGTCTGATTCTTCCACAGTCATACATCTAGAGACTGGCAGAGACAGATACTGAATCTAGATTTTTGGACTTCAAGCCTGCAGTCTTGAACTCCACCGTATTTACCAGACTGTCCTCACTGATGTGTGTGTGTGTGTTTGTGCTCAGTCATGTCCAGCTCTTTGTGACCCTGTAGTCCACCAGGCTCCTCTGTCACGGGATTCTCCAGGCAACAGTATTGGAACCAGCTTCCATGCCCTCCTCCAGGGGATCTTCCGGACCCAGGGATGGAACCTGCCTGTCCTGCACCTGCTGGCAGATTCTTTACCACTGTGCCACCTGGTAGACTTTTAAATTCTCAGCTGCTTCAGAGATTTGAAAAAATTATGAACAAAAGAACAAAATACTTTCAATTTTCAGTTCTAAAATTTTTGAAAAATTACAATGAGTGTTTTGGGCAGACACTTAAATCAGTAGAATGAAGGTGTAGAATTAGATACGGGTTTTCAAGCTATGTTCTGTGGATTCCTAAAGGCTTCAGTGAATCTCAGGAGTCCCTGGAAGTGCTTCAGGTTTCCACAATCAAAGTCACATTTTTGGCACAATAAGGAAAATTCAGACTGTCCAAGAAATCTGTTACCAGATTTAATATTTTATTTCACTATATTAGTGATTCCTGTAGAAATCCACTTGAAAAAAATTACTTTGCTAACTAATTTACTAGGCTAGATCATTTTTCTTCCTGCTTACATATTACTGTGTTAGTCTCTGACTTTCTGCAGGGCTGACAGCATGAGATTATATTGTTTTAACAGAATAACAATTATACAGATTATTTCCATACATAGATGATTTCAACCATCTATCCTGAATTTAACCAATGATCAATAGTCTCCAAGGTATTCCATAGTTTTAAAGGAACTTAAACACATGCGTGCATGCTAAGTTGCTTCAATTATCTCCAACTCTTTGTGACCCCATGGGCTGTAGCTCGCCAGGCTCATCTGTCCATGGGATTCTCCAGGTAAGAATAGTGGAGTGGGTTGCCATTTCTTCCTCCAGGGGATCTTCCCAGGGATCCAACTCGCCTGCCCTACGTCTCCTGCATTGGTAGGAGGGTTCTTTACCACTAGCGCCACCTGGGAAACCCACTGAAACACACAGTAACTGCTTAACAAAAACTAGCTGAGTCTGTAAGTGAATGAATGAATGAATGAATGACATAGGTCCTGAGAAGGAGGATGCAGAGACCTTAGGGCCAAGGGTCTGCCAGCACAGGTGCAGCCAGGTTTGTCTCCAGAAGCCTGACATCTACTCCTACCGCTCAATGTTCTTTGTGAGCACGTGTGAGAGTATTTTTAAAGTCATCCCATGTCAAAGATGCCAGTATTATTTCTATGTGATTCTACTCTTTGAGCCCAGGACCTTTCTCCACATCACAATGTATCCTCATACACCTTTTGATGGACATGTCTGTGTTTTTGTTTGTTTGTTTTAAAGATTTTTTTTTGTATGGACCATTTTTAAAGTCTTTATTGAATTTGTTACAATACTGTTTCTGCTTCATGTTTCTGGTATTTTGGCTGTGAGGCATGCAGGATCTTAGCTCCCTGATGAGGGATTAAACCCGAACCCTCTGCACTGGAAGGCGAAATCTCTACCACTGGACCACCAGGAAAGTCCCCAGTCTTTGACTGGAAGGCCTTGGCATATAGCAAATGTAATGTCAGTCTAATATACGTAGTTTGTCCAGCACTTACTTGATTCAGAGATTTTAGAATTGGAAGGAGCTTTGGGGATCGCACGCATTTTATTTTAGTGGCTCATGGGGAGAGGTCTGATTTGCTGCAGACGTGTTCAGTGACAATGCCAAGTTTCATAATCTAGGGAAGCAGCAATAAATAGTTGCCAGATCATGGACTTTGAGACCAGGCTGGCTTGGGAATGTTCTGGCTCTAGTGTTTATACTCTTTGTGACACTGGGCAAATTAACTCCTCAGTTTCATCATCTGTAAAGTGGGACTATTACATAACCTGACTGTCCCAAATATGAGGAGTAAAATTATTATAAAGCATTTTGCCACTCAATGAAGAGTAGCAGTTGTTTTTATTTCATATGTTCCTAATGAAGGGTAACATTCTGCATTTTTCCCTTGGAACTTTTAGCACAATATGAGAGCTTAAATTTGATTCTTAAATATATACAAATGCACAAATATACACAAAATGCATACAATACATTTAATGTAGATCTGGCATTAGAAAGACCTAAGGATTATATCCTTTTAGGATGCAGGCCACATTTCATAATTTTTTTTCTTTTCTTTTTAATAGACATACATGGAAGAGAAAAATCTGCTTGTGTGACAGAGGAAAATTTTTCCTGAATTTTGGTATTTGGTTTTTATCACGCCATTTACAATATTCACAGCCATGTGTTTTGTTTTTCCCCATGTGTTTCTTTTAGTCACACAAAGCGCAGTAACTCTGAGCTGGTTTCTAATTAACTGACTGCACCCTGAGGTCTCCAGCTTCTGTTTTAAGTTTAATTACAGCTGTGAAGAGGCTGCAACAAAACCAACGAGAGTGTCTCTACATGATAAAGAAAAAATAATAATGCAGTTCTGGTTTGATTCTTAGATCACCGAGGGTGTGGATGTTCATAGAGATGGTTAAGTCAGTACATGGACTTGGGACTTCCATTTGTTTTGTCTCATTTTCCCTCATGCAAGCCACTTGATTTTGATGGAGACAGCTTCTGACTTAAATCTGAAATCTAGACACAGTTAGAATGGAAGGGACTCTCATCCAATGGGACGACTCTACCTCAGTTCTCTGGTTCTGAAATTGACAACAGTCCAAAAACCTGTTGATGTTCATCCCATCATGAATTGTCAGACAATTGAAAAGAAATGTGAAACTCACCAGAGTGGCGAAGAGGTGATAGAGTATAAAATAGATGGCAACCACAGGTGCCCACATGTGTCCCACGGCATTTAGTGTTTGGTCCATGACATCAACCCATCCTTCCTGGGTAAGAATCTGGAACATGGACATGAATGCCTACAGAGGGAAAGAATGGAGGGATTAAAACACCAGCCTTGAGCTGGCATGCAACTTAAAATTAGGACTTTGATCTCAGTATTACTAATTCAGGAGGGAAAGAAGAGCCTTCATTCAACAGATAAGAAAGAACTAAGAACAAAGATCTTAAAAGTCTGATATCTACCAATTCAATGTGGAAAACTAAAATAATTACTGTGAATTAAAATTAGCCTTGTTGATGGTAAATACTGCTGAGCAAATTAGAAAAAAATTGGGAAACTTTGCTTATTATCTCTATTGCTTTTACCTTTTAGCAAGTTATTTAATGCTTCCAAGGGATTACTGTAATTTATTTTATTTTTTGCTGTCAAGCACAACTTATTTTTATAGCAAATTACATTCAATTGTCTAAAGGCAAATAAGAATAATAACCTTAATTTTACTTTTACAGAATTCATCTATCAAATCATTTCAGTTATGTTAAAAACACAAGACTCTGAACAAGAAATATTTCTAAAATGATATGATAATACTAAGTAACTTCATAAAAATGATCACATTTTTTCATAATTTAAAACATTTTTTTTTCCAAAGCAGAGTCAAGACCATGGAAGAAACCCCAAGACCAAAAGTAAAGTAAAAAATAAAGTAAAATTGAATTAAATTAAAAAGAGCACTCAACAAAAGCCAAGTTCAAAGACCCATTCTTTCTTGGCAAAGATCTTTGGTTAGTGTCATTCCTATACATTTTTTTCTTATAAATACATGCTTATATCCACCTCTGGTTTACATACTCTGTACATATTAGTGGTCAATAAATGAGAACTTAATGAGAACTTATGATACTGTCAGGGAAATTTGACAATTGGAATTGAGTGACTCTGAAAGAAATTGCTATAGACTTCAAGACAATGCAAGACATAAATCAAATTCTCAAGTATTGGGATTCCAAGAAATAAAGTCCAGGATAACAGAAAGATGGACAAAACCCTATAAGAGTTCTGTTACACTGATAGTATCTTAGAGGCAAAATGGACTCTAAAGATAATCTAACTTGATTCATTCTTTTTGAAGATAAAGAAAAAGAGGCTTAAGTTGGGTAATTAGCCCAAAGTCACTCTATTAATTTGTAGCAGTAATAGAAGTAGCACCAGGCATCATGAATTCAAAGCAAGTACTTTTTCCAAGTGCTGCTTCCTGCCTTCAGTGAAGTCTTGAATCTACTACTTCCCAGACCTGATCACACAGTAAGCTCTTTTGGCAGTTTTCTTTACTAGGGATAATAAACTTTTTTACAAGTGCAATGTTCAATGCCCAGCACATAGTGGGTCTATATGAAGAAAGGAACAACGAAATGAATCTCAAACTAGGAGACACGTTTTTCCTCCGAGCCTTAGTCCATGTGTGAAACGTTTAACTTCTTCTTGACTTAATTTTTCTATAATCTCATCACCCTACAAAGTGTTCTGTTTATGAAAGCAAGAAGTATGTTGTTACTAGTACTTGAGCATGGCATCAACAAGGACAGTTTAATACTTTCCTTGCCAGGGTGCCAAAGAGAGTATTAGCTTTAATTCATCTTAAAAATGCTTCAGAGAATTTTTCAACACAAGGTTTAATGTCATAAGTGTGCCAGACCTATCATTGAGGGCAATTATTTTTTCCCTGTATTTTTTTTCTATTGAGTATTTATTACATCTGAAGGCAAGGAAAACAAGTTCTGAAGATGACTCACATAAAAATATCAGATTGTAGACTTCCCTGGAAGTCCAGTGGTTAAGATGCCATGCCTCTACTGCAGGGAGCACAGGTTCAATCCCTGGTTGGGGAACTAAGATCTCACACACAGAAAAAAAAAAATGCCAGATTGTTGTCTCTTCTTCAACAGAGACGTCACCAGTGTGAAAGTGTGTGGACATCCAAACAGCTCAACAATGAAAGGGGGGAAAAGTCAAAACATCTACCAAGACAAAAGGAATTTTCCTGGACATGGATTTCTTTCCCTAAAAGTGACAGAGAAACTTGTGATTAAGTCCAATGGATTTATCCTTGGTACCTAGAGGCCAGAAATTCAGGTGTACCTTTCAGTTTCTTTGGGCAGAAACCTACTTAATTTGTTTTCATCTGCAGCATGAGCTTTCATGAACACTCAGCCATCGTGCATTCAGTGAAGGTTTGGGAACATGGAGTTATGGGTTTATAACCTGTTGCTGTGAGGTAAACAATGTGAGCAAGAACATTGGGTTACCCTCTACTCTTTTCAGAGTTCCAGAAGGAAAAAGCCTCATTTCTGCACAGCTCAGAAAACTCTAAGTATGTACTGTGAGATGCTGTGAATTACTATTACTATACTCTGTTCAATCATATTTACATTTTGCTGTTTAGTCATCATTGGGTCTTCCATGCTTGTTGGTACACTGATAATCAGTAGATGGATAGTCAATGAGTTGCCTATGAAAATACTGCTAAGTATAATGTTATCCTGGTAATGTCCTATGGTAATATTTCCTTCCCCAGGGCTCCAAATATTAAGACATGTTTGGTAGTATAAGAGGCCCCTTACTTTTCACTAAGGTTTCAGAATCTGGCCCAGCTTAATTCACTTTATTGGAATCACGGTGTTCTTATACAATTTTTAGTTTAGTTTTGTTTTAGTTGAGAGTTTTTTATTGTTTTTCACAAGTTCCTTCGGGGAAAGAAATATAGACTTTCTTCCTTCTACTTCAAATTGCTTCCAGATTCCCACAGATTTTTACCAACTGTCTGGAATAAATTCCACTTCTCTTCTCTTACAGAGGCTCTTACTGGAGGCTTAGATTACCCAGAAACCTTTTTATTCTTTCTCTCAGACGTTTTCCTTGGAGTCCTCTTATTGCTATTTTAATTTGGACCAATTACGCTCTAGACCTGCTCCACAACTGTCAAAGCCTTCTTTTTTCATTTTATTTTATGGAAGTATAGTTGATTTACAATGTTGTGTTTAAGTTTTGCTATAGAGCAAAGTGATTCAGTTATAAATATATATTATATACATATATATATTCTTTCCCATTATGGTTTATCACAGGATATTGAATATAGTTCCCTGTGCTATACAGTAGGACCTTGTTGTTTATCCATTCTATATGTAATAGTTTGCATCTGCTAATCCCAAGCTCCCAATCTTTCCCTCGGCCTCCCCTCTGCCCTCTGCTTGGCAACCACAAGTCTATTCTCTATTTGCGAGTTGGCTTTTGTTTCATAGATACAGTCATCTGTGCCATATTTTAGATTCCACCTGTAAGTGATACCATATGGTATTTGTCTTCCTCTTTCTGACTCACTTTGATTAGTATGATAATCTCCAGGTCCATCCAAGTTGTTGCAAATGCAAAGCCTTCATTTTAAGCCTCCTTATCTAGATCGTTTAATCCCTCCAATACAGTGTCAGAAAGGGATCCCAGAAGCTCATGCCCATCATTGGTGGTGGCTTAATCTCTCAGTTGTGTCTGACTCTTGCAACCCCATGGACTGTAGCCTGCCAGGCTTCTCTGGCCATGAGATTTCCCAGGCAAGAATCCTAGGATCTTCCCAACCCAGGGACTGGACTCACATCCGTGTCTCTTGCATTGGCAGGCGGGTTCTTAACTGTTGCGTCACTTGGGATTCCCATGTCCATCACTAGAACCCTGTTTCAATTTGTCAACTATGTTTTCTTCTATGTTTTGCGGTCTCAGTACGAGGAGAATGGTTTGCAGGGAGAGAAGTATTGGCTGAGGCCATGGACAGCTAAGCTTGAGATATTAGGACTCAGACATTTCCCCACTGTGGGTAAATTCTGGAAATTTTTATTGCTGCCACAGTCCGTCGGGTTCCTTCCAGCACTTGCACCCCACTGACTCCAGGTGAGGACAAAGACATGCTGATTCTGTAGATCCTAGTCCTCTGGGTACCAGGAGAGGACAGCTGCTCTCCTCCACCCCTTTCTCCCCATCTCCTGCTCCCTCCTGATTTCAATTTTCTTCTTTTCTCTTCACCCTTTCACTCTGCTGAACTTTTGTTTATTATGGAAGAGCCTTAGTTTTTAGAATTTATGACTGTGTTGCTTTTACTCACAAGCCTTCTTCCCAACTGGGAAAAATGAAAAATAAAAAACTCCAGCATTTTATCTTGCCTTTGGTAAAATCGGGTGAATCAATCACTTCTACACTTGTGGGAGATTCTTGATGTCTTTTCCAGGGCTCTGCACATCCCCGCAGCCTGAGGCTCCTCAAATTGAGGGAGATGAGCACATATTTTAGGATTTGCTTTTCCAATTTAATTTCTTTTCAACTTCTGGAAAACAGGCTTTGGGCATGAACCTAGAGTGCACTTTCTCTCTCTGATTCTTTCTCTTTCTCCCTCCCTCTTTCCTAGGAGCTGCTATTCAAAGCTAATGGTATGAAATTGTGGCCTTTTCTTTGTGGGGTGACTGCTGGTATCATTTTTTTCCAGGCTGGTAATGAATTGTTTTATTCATTTCTGCAGGTTTTCGGGACAGAAGATCTGTGATTTTTGCTATTTTACCCCTCACGTCCAATCTTACAGATGTAAATAGGGGTAAGCACTTTGTTTACAAGTGCCTTTTCTTTTCTGTGTCTAATGACATAATCACATATTAACCATCCCCATGCAGGTCAGGCCCTGTTCACGCTGCAGGTGTCTGAATGCAGCTAATTGAATCAGAGATGAGCAGTTAACCTGAGAATGGGCCAGCTGCACAGGACGTGATCTGGAACAAACAACCCTGACGATCAGGGAAGAGCAAAATCAATCAAAAACATCTCTAATGAATTTCAAGTGGAAATTACAGGGAAAAATCACACTGTTAGCAGTAGGATCTGGAGGCACATGAATGAATGGGGATTGGCTCTGCAGTTGGGCAGCAGCAAGTAAGGGGTCACGACAAGGTCAGCTGTTGTTGTTCAGTCCCTGAGTCATGTCCGACTCTTTGCCACCGCATGGACTGTGGCACGCCAGGCTTCCCTGTCCTTCACTAT